AAAGAAGGAGACAATGCCACCTTAAATTGTAACGCCATGGGAAATCCTGTACCAAAAATATCATGGAATAAGGGAGGATCACCTCTTGGTAACACCTCCAGTATTAGTTTGTCAGCGGATAACAAGGACCTTACCATAAAGAATGTGAACAGAGTAGACAGCGGTGAATACCGATGTGTGGCCACCAACAGCCTTGGAAATGATACATCCAATCCTGCTCACCTAGGAGTGCAATGTAAGTGGAGTATTTCAATCGCTTTGTCATAGCTATATTGCTATAAAATTAGATGTTACTTCAGATTTTGATGACGTCTAATTGGATGTGTTCATTTGACATGGGAAATATGTCGGAGAGCTTTTGATGCTAAATGCTAAACCCATGTGAAAACGTTTCAAGTTGATCACATTTGTCTTTGTCACGCATTCCTCATTAGCTATTCCGACGTATGGTATATACTAAAATAACTATTCACCTTCGTGTCGTTGAAAGTGATTCGGCAAATATCTACCGCTAACCCTACGCAATATCAATCTAACAATCGCATTCTCCACCATTCTGTATTCTGGTCCTTCTTAGACTTCTAAGGAACAGATTAGAGACGCCTTCTCTTTTTCGAAGCACCCGACAATACTACTTTCTTTTAATTTAAAATAATCTGCTGCTTATTTTGCTTGTCTTTTATGGACGAGTGTAGTTAAACCCGAGATAGGCACTGTTCCACGACTGATTCAGAGAACCGAAGGAGACGAGTTATCTTTATTTTGCAACGCCACGGGAAATCCAGTACCTCTAATATCATGGACTAAAAACGGGTTTTCTCTGGACACCAGTAACAATTCCAGAATAAATTTTTCTAACAAAGGAAAGCAGCTCACAATCAAGAATTTGAGCAAAAGAGATGGTGGAGTGTACCTATGTGTTGCAGAAAACAGTCTTGGAAATGCTACGTCCCATGGTGCTACCCTAGAAGTGCATTGTAAGTAATAAGTATTTTTTGGTCAAAAAAAAATACCTCAAAGGTCTAAAGGTGAATCAACAGGGTCAGGTTAAAAAAAAGTTATGTTTTCCCGTCAACTGATACAAATTTTTAAGTCTCAGGATAAATTCCTTTTCAAAGCGTTTGTTTGGCATGGGGTTTTCAGATTTATTTAAGGCTGAAAGATTTCCAGTTACGTTCAATGCCAAAACCATACAGAACTGAATTATTTCTAATCTTTATCCCTTTACAGGCTTAAATCACTAGATTTACATTCTTGGGACCAACCCTGGATTGTAGATTTACTTTTGGATGCACGCTCTCCGTTCTGAAATGGGTGGTGCATCTGTGGTCTTTTCTCAAAAAATTATTTCATTAAAAACTATATCGGACTTATTTTGTTTCGTTCCCTAACTTGCCCAATACTTGTTCAGTTATAAAAATCATGGGCTATCTACTCCTCGCTGTTTGTCATTAACAGTCGCGGCAAAAAGGTAAAAGTATTTCGACATCATCACGAAGCAGTAACTTTAAATGCTGTTTGAAATATTTATGAACTCTAACGCCAACCCTATTTACTTTCCAGTTGAACCCGAAGTGTCAATCGATGGCAATCAGAAGCAATATGTGGCCAAGGGCGGCAATATCCGGCTGATATGTTGGTATGAAGCGTCGCCGCCAGTGTCTGAAGTGCAGTGGAGAAAAGAAGGAACTGTGATTGTCAGGAACGCTTCGAAGCTGATCAATGGTTCCAGAGTGACAATTCCATCCTTTAATGAAAGTCAAGTACAGTTATCGATCACAGAAGCTTCCTTAAGAGATGAAGGAAATTACACCTGTAACGCCAGTAACATTTTTAGCAGCACACAGGACACGATAATGATCATAATTGAAGGTATATGATAACGTTTTAAACTAGGAGTTTCCCTTCAGTAACGAATTTGAAACACTCATTAGATACACTTTTACCGTTCGAGCTAAAAAGGGCGTCTCATTTCCCTCCAGCAACTCGTCTACGACAATGTCGTCTTTGAAAACTACTCAACAATTACTATCACCTTCCAAGCCCAAAACCCAGTACACTGTATGTTGATTTTGGTTCTGCGGAATGTGAGATTACTAAAAGAATTTATGCAAAATTTGGACTAGGAATTGAACAATTCCTGCCCCAAAATACAATATCATTTGTTTTTGAAGCCAGTCCTCCCAAATTCGTTTTTTCTTGTTTTTTTCTTAATTATCAACAGTAAATTCTAAAATAGACAAGGTGACAACTTTCAAATACACTTTCACAACAAGCTCACAACAATTATGATTATTACATATCCGGCATGTAGCTTATTTTTTTTCTATAGTTAAGCTTGCAGAAATACCGTATTTATTTTACAGATAAACCTGAGATCGCAGCTCATCCTCACAACTTCACAACAGAGGAAGGTCATGACGTGACTTTGTATTGTAATGCAACTGGAAATCCAGCCCCGACCATATCATGGACCAAATATGGAAATCCAATAAGTAACGGCTCCAGGATCATTTTGTCACCAAGCCACGAACAGTTGACGATAACGAATGTGAACAGAATAGACAGTGGAAAATACAAATGTCAAGCGAAAAACAGAGTTGGAACGGATACTTCTTTCGTTTCCACGGTTACTGTTTACTGTAAGTGACTTATGACAATGACAATAACTTTATTCATACTTGAATTTAAGATAGCAAATACATGCTAATATCTCCAAGTTAAATTATCTAAATTTAAAATATTTCAAATTAATCTAATTACTAACTATCTAAATACTATCTATATATAAAATACAAAATATCATTCTAAAGCAAAGGATATTAAAATATAATTTCTAAACAAGATAAAAACTAAGTGAAATTTATTTTACAGGTCGAATTTCAATTTAGAAATTTCGAATTTAAATTGACTTAATTCCTGTAGCAGTCTTATGTTATTGGGAAGAGAGTTCCATAGCTTACTACCGTGATAGGCCAATGAGTGGAGGCCATAGCTAGTGGTATTAACCCTGGGTACCATAAGAATATTATCCCCCCTCAGATTAATCATGCAGTTGCGTAAAGTAAATAACCTAGAAATATATTCTGGAACCAACCCATGCAATAACCATGTATTAGTATTATAAGTCCTCTCCACATTTGACTGCAGTGTTGCAATCTGACCGGCCAAGCTGATATTGTCGATAAGAGTACAGACAACGCTGCTTACGTCAACGCGTCGCGCACTGAAAGAATCGTTTTATTTGACGTTGATGTTGCAGTAAAAAATAAATCGACTAAGGTTTAGCGTGCTCTGTACCACCGTCGATTTCTTGAATGAATAGTGGATTATTTATCGTTCTCGCTAGCTTGGCTGAAAAATCTACACCTTGACTGGTTAAATGATCAAATTGAACAGACAAAATATTGAACTGGTGCTACTTTCGTAGATGTCCAGTGTAAGTGCTGCGGAACATTCATGAGAAAACAAGTTATTTGGGTTATTGACTTAATTTTTTGATCCAACGTGTCCGAATCCCTTTATTCTTATTACTAGACTCGATAGTCCGAAAAAAAAAAACTCCTTAATATTCTGGTCCAACGTGTACGAATCCCGCGTCCTTTTCCTAGTCAGTTGGTTAAAGAGTCGCTTTGCAGCTCTGAAATTCAGATCAATTTAATTAAAGTTGCCAGTTTTGCACTGCGGCTAAATATGATTTCCCGGGTTGCGACACCTATGATTTAACAGCTTGTCGGTGAATAACTATTTTTATTTCGCGTCGGGCAAAACAGGGACTATGATTCTGCTTGACGTACGATTGTCTGTCTTTGAAGCTTACCAAATTTGCGCGTTTTGGTCTATTTGTACATTTGTGGAGGCAATGATGTGCAAAATCTCAGTACCCTTTTGCATAGAAACATTTCTAATTGTTGCGTACGTTTTTTTTTTCTTAGTTGCACCTGAAATCTCCATACCTCCAAGGAACGTCACAGTAGTAAAAGGAGAACATGTGACTTTTACTTGTTCAGTGGCGGGGAACCCTACACCCAGTGTTATTTGGACAAAGAATGGAAAAGACCTGGATGTAACAGCAAACAGTCCATTAAAATTGTCGTCTAGGAAACATAATCACAGTTTAGAAATTGCAGAAGTTGACCTCTCAGACTCAGGGCAATACATATGTGTGGCTAATAGCAGCCAGGGTAAATTATCCTCATCTGCAGCTACCCTCACAGTACAATGTAAGTAATATTATCAAATGCATGTAGTTGTATGATATCAGAGCAAAGATTGCCAATAACACATTTGATAACGGCACTAGTTATTTGTTTGAAGTCATATTTTTATACTTCACCAGTATTCTCAAAGGTTTGAAAACAGGTAGCAATCATTAAGAATTTCTTGTTTCTAATATATTTTTTCGTAACTCACGGTGAGAAATGTGCTATTGTTTGCTTACGTCGGCTATTATTCAAGTCATGTTCTTCTGTATCATGTATTGTACTATGATTTGATTGATTTATCGTTATTTACAGTAATTCTCGCGGAACAAAAACAGAAAAAAACAGGGTACAAATATCTCGCGATATTCGTACTCAGAGAGCCGGTAAGACAGGTTTTCTCGCATCGCGCAAGCGACGAATTGAATTGAAGTTACAAAAACAAATAACGGACAATTTGAATTATTTTTCTCACGACGAAGAGTCAGAATGGCTGGCGAGTAGTGATCCAAGTCAGTATTAGATAAATTGAACGAAGAAAAGCAGCTAACCAACAATGAAATTTCGCGTCAATTCCGTTCCGCTTCGCATACTTCTGTCACGCACTCCCCGTAAATGAATAGCCGCGAAACTCGCCCGCACTGAAATAACAATTTTGAGCGTGTTTTGTACTCGTTGTTTATATACGGCACAAGTCGTTAAAATACTTAGCGATACTATATTAAGTTACCTGATTTATAGAAATATCACACAATTTTATGCACGTTTTGAAAAACAAATCTTGCTGCCATAGTTTTGAATCACCAATTCCAGTCTATCTGTAACTCTCCTAAAGAAGATCAAAAAGATCGAGTTCCTTAAGAATAATTCAACACCTGTACAACATTTTTTGGGGCTACAATTGTTACGCTTTTTCCACGTTGGAATATTAAAGGAAACACAATTTGATTGCAGTGCCAAGCGAGGCTCCGTCTTTTGTTGTGACTGTTCTCAATTCAACTGCTGTAAATGTTTCCTGGCAGGTAATTACCAGATATTATATGT